CATGACATCATTTAAACATCTAATTTTGTAGATTCCATTGAGGGGAAAAAATTCTCAATTTCGTAGTTGACGAAAAAAATTTAACTTACGCAATTTTCGAAAAGTCAAAGACTTAGACTAAAATGGGATCTGGGCTATTTATATTAGCCTACTTCTCTTTATTCGTCATGAAATGCTTGAAGCCATTTCTGAGACTTTTTGAAAATGTCGTTGAGGCTTCATAGTTCCAAAAATCAAAATATCCGTTTCAAATTAGCAAGGCTTTGAGTTCGGCCAGATCTGTCGGGGATTATCAGATCTGGAGAAAATCGTCTGAACAGTTAAGGCGCTGGTGTTATGGACAGAGACGTTTTGCCGTGCATCAATAATCAACAAAACATGGATTCTGACGTCCCAACGTATTAGAAGTATTTCACTAGGTATAGCTGCAAGAATTATCCCTTTTTCGGTAGCAGGAACTCGCGATATGTTTTCATTCGAAAAAAAAAATCGCTACTTTTCGCTTATGCTTCGAAGTTCTTTTACCTTTCTATGTACATACGTAGGCAAAAAATATTGAAGATTCGGGATAAATGTATTTTAAGATTTCGTTGACAATGGAAATACAGGAATCACATGCTTAATAACCAATGGTTAAGGAGTAAACTGAAAGTTGTGTAGGATACAGTTTATAATAATTATTGTAAACATTTTAAAAGAGAATTGCAACTAGCCTTGTCGGTTTGAATTTTTAATCCGGTTTCGTCGTAGAAGAGCATTCCATACTATTTTGTACACATAGTTCATTTATCCCCTTCACTGAAAGTGAAATAAATAATACTTTTATGATATGTAATGGAAACGCGTATGCATTCTTAGACATAGCGGTCTCGGTACATAGCGGAACTATATATCTGACATTTCCGGGTTTCCCAGATTCGTACCAATCCTCGCAATAATAAATGTGTATAGTAGGTTTAAAAATACACTAAGCAATTGCCAAATTTCAAAAGTTTTCATGAAAATCGTATCTATACAGTACAGGCGCACTTCGCTTTGTTTTAATAAAAAATCTGAGAAAAAATCAACGGGCGTCGACGTTAGCTAGATCGATAAGTGAATATCATTTTGGGAAACATTCGGACCGTCAGTAGTCTTTTAAAAAATGGAACTAGTAGCTATCATAACTGGCTTCTCCACCGAAATCTCGACTTCCAATTTTCGTGCTGTTGTTTAGCATTCTACGCACATGAAGCACGCTGGCATTCCGGCGCTGGCATCCGCCACTGATAACCCTGCTCGTCCTGCTAGAGCGGACACGTAACACGCTGATAGCGACCGTCCCGAGATCTAGCTGAACCTCCACTACTCCACTTCCATGTATGTGCAAGATAGACTGCAGACCAATGCATTTATCGAAATTATTACAAGTGTCGGCGAAAGATATGCACTAGTTTATCAAAATGTGTAGCCAGGAAATAGGAATGCTTCGGAATGCGATTTTGGGTTATTACAAATTCAAAATGGAGAATATTAACCAAAAATATACTGACTGATGTTACCTTCACATAAATAAGTGCGTGCGTGTTTTACAAAACACTATTATTGATAAATAATGATTTGAAATCACTTCAATAATGGCATTTGATTGGCTCTACAAAACATTACAAGACAATGAACATCCAAATATGAGAGATAGTTTTTCTTAAATTCGCATATATTCAGCCAATTGTATTCTCACAAAAGTAGATAATCGCTTCTAAAAATGTATTGTCGTTTAGTGCCTTGCGATTTGATTCATTAACGTTTTACAGAATGCAACTTATAACATTATTCAAAAACTACTTTTGAATTTTTTGTAGATGTTTTGTTCACTTACGCAGAAATGTCTTTTCAGCCCTTTCCACATGTGATCGTATGACAGTTGTCCCCTTATCTCACATACTGGTCTCACAAAAACCTTCGATATGAAAAAAGTCGTGTATCCATCTTCAATCTTGCGATCGCACGCTATGAAGCAAGGCTCGACCGACAGCAGGCCAGAGAACGTGCTTGCAGCCAGTGCGCCGAAACTCCCAGGAGTTCCGGCCGCCGTCACGCGCTGATGAATTAACGCCATTAAGTTTCGGCACGCATTCTTTGTATCGGTCAACATTTGATAGCAGGGCGCAGTCACGCTGCGGACAGACGGCAGTCGGCGCCGGAAACCCACGCCCAACGTGCACGTGCCTAAAAGGGAGCCAAGCGGCTCCTTAAGTCGTGTTCCTTGGGGCGTTTCGTAACGCCTCCTAAGGTACGCCCACCCCAAGGGTGTGTTTTTCATAGTTGTTGAGCTACAGTTTCATTCAATTTACGATATTGTCTTTACGACGTTGTTCTTTCCCCGATACCATTAGAAAGTTCGTTAGATTATTTTTTCATTCATATGACTGCATCAAGATACATACTATATCTAGTATTATATCACATTCAACATTATATCATTTTCATTATTATATACATACACTATGCGATCAAAAGTAGCGGACACGTCAAAAATGGTGTTATGGTGTGGTCGTGTTTCTCATGGGGAGAACTTGCACCCCTTGTTGTTTTGTGTGGCACTATCACGGCACAGCCCTACGTTGATGTTTTAAACACTTTCTTATTTCCCACTGTTGAAGAGAAATTTGGGGATAGCGATTGCATCTTTCAACACGATCGAGCACCTGTTCATACTGATCGGCCTGTGACGGAGTGGTTACACGACAGTAACATCCCTGTAATGGACTGGACTGCACAGAGCTCTGACTTGAATTCTATCGAACGCCTTTGGGATGTTTTGGAACGCCGACTCCGTGCCAGGCCTCACCGACCTACAGCGATACCTCTCCTCAGTCCAGCACTCCGTGAAGAATTGGATACCATTCCCCAAAAACCTTTCAGCACCTGTTTGAAAGTATGCTTGCGAGAGTGGAAGCTGCCATCAAGGCTAAGGGTGGGCCAACACCCCATTGATTTCGGGCATTACCGATGGAGGACGCCACGAACTGGTAAGTCATTTTCAGCCATGTGTCCGGGTACTTTTGATTACATAGTGCATGCCATTTTACCTTACATCATTACAATTCATCTTACACCGAGGCGCACCCAGGATTTTTCTCGGCGGGGAGGGAGCATAAGTCCAGGCGCCAGGAAGTTTTCTTATAAATCATTTTTGATTTTTGCTAAATGTAAAATACATTTTAATTTGACTTACAGTTAATACAGTAAAACGTGCTCAATGCGGAACCTCAAGGGAACAGTATTTTTTTCCGTATTAGACAAGATTCCGCATTACGCAATAATTTTGTAGAATATATGTTTGGCAGGACCGCAATTTACGTTCACAATAGATAGAATTCCGCATTATGCACGTTGCGCATCGAACACGTTTTAATGTATTTGTAACATTAACAATTGCTATACGGAATGACTTTCGTTAGTACAGAAAATTTGTAAATTTTTTTTTTTAAGTGTGTTCATTGGCTTTTGGCTGGGGTGGCTGATGCTCCATGAGCCCCCCTAGATGCGCCGCCGATCTTACAATATAAAAGAAGTCAAGATTATCAGGAAATAAATACCTTACCAAGGTGGTTCTGGTGGAGGAACACCATTATGTTCCTTTTCACTTGCAATACATCCATCTGAGCACCCATTCATAGTTAACGAGCATCGAGGTGCTCCTACAGAGTGAAGAATGTACAGAATGCGTTCCCCTCGAGCGTCTGGAGAAATGCAATGCCTGGGAGTTTCACCTTTATTATTCCTAAAAAAGAAAAAAAGTATTTTAAATACATGTGTTTTAAGAACCAGAACTTTTATATTAATTGTGCGAGTCGTTATTAGAGAATGCAGGTGTCGAAGCAATCAATGATTCCGCGGCCTAAAGTATGAAATTAACTCCATAAACAACACTAATATCACATCAAATTTTATTTGGTGTAAGTAACTCATAGGGGAGTAGCAGTCATCCACAATACTATGACGATGCCTAAAGAGTCATTTATTATATCAGTAAGATATCGAACTGAATTACTTAATTACGTTCATTCCTTTAATTGTATGCTACACTTCGCAGCACTGCGGTACGGCAACAAACCTTTTTTTAGTAATTACAATTACAAGTGAAAGACGTTCCGTTCCCAATATTCGATATTCTCTCCGAAGCGCCAGTCGAGGTGCGACGCTGTGGGAACGAGAGAATCACTGCCGCAATGACAACTTCCTGAGGTGTGCGTCTCGAGCCGTGGGCGGCGAGTGTCAGCCCATGGCCACGATTCACACGGGATTCAGGGATTTGCGCGACCAGGGAGATGTGCTCCACTTGATGTGCGGTGTGCGCAAATACCAACGACTGGCAAGTAGTTGCCCTGTGTGAATCATCTAGGCGAAATGGGCAAATGTTCTTCCAGAATACGCAACAACAAAAGGTACGTAATCGAACGGATGTTTTACTTTAATCCTTTGGCAAATTGTAAATACTATATTCGTTTAAAAATAACACATTATTATTATTATTATTATTATTATTATTATTATTATTATTATTATTATTATTATGCTTTCCTCAGACCCTTTGCTAGTCTCTGACGTCGACATATTTCAAAGAGTCATTATTTAGTGATTTTAGGCGTGTCAAATCCTTTGGCCGTTAGGGTAGTGCTCTATACCGGGAGATGACAGTGCTCCTCTCTACTGGAACGTGAAATTTGACGCCGACCTTGCGGGTTTACCTCTTCAGTTAACGCACCTCGAGGAGTTTACTTCCTCCAGTAGGGCACCTCCCAGCAGCGACAACTCGAAACTCCCGACTCATGTGGTAGTGTAGCACTTGTGTATGTGTGCGTGTATAAGGGGAAAGGATAGAGAGATGAGGAAGGGAAGATCGCGTGGCCCGTTTGTTATGGTACGGGATACACCCGGTATTAAGACTAAAACAGTCACAGCTGCAGATAAACGTCTTGCAGTACGGATTCTCATTTCTTGACATCACTACACGCGTGCGACGGTGGGCGCCGCTCACTAAACGTATTGTGTAATAGTTCCAGTGTGATTCGATTGCAAATTTCAGGCGAGAAATTAAAGTTCACCTCCTGCGATGCAGAGTTCCGGGCTTAGTGTCGATACAGGTGAAGCCCAAGAAACCATCCGCCACCCTTAAGCTCACCAATCTCAGACAAAGCTTCGGTCTGCACTGGCGCCGCCGGAGTGACAGCGACAGCCTGAGGGACTGGACTGCCCTCTCGAATGATTTATATTTATTTAGTAAAAAAACAGTAATAAACGTGTAGTAACAACGTAAAAACAGTAACAGTGAAAAACGTGTAGTAAAACAGTAACTGTGACGTATAAGGGAGAAGATCATTTGTCCACAGTTTCCTGAGTTCCAGAATCCCTTCCCGTCATTTTAACTATAAATGGTTGAAAGATGAGTAAACGTTTGAAATAAATAAATAAAAATAAGTTTTAAAAAAGTGCGAGATTAGCAGTATTTAATAAAAATAGACGTGTTCGTTCCCGAGTTATATAAAACGTATTTGCATCGGTAAACGAATTGCAAGAATTATTTTTCTGTATTGCTATCAAAATAGTAACTAGTCCTTACCTCTACTCCTATCATTACAAGCAAAAGGAGAGTTCAACTAAACGTACGCACAGTGAAGCTACATTTACGTCAAGAAAAAAAACAAGGGGCCATCTCAGCATTTGCTTAATGGATGAGGGAAACTGGACAAAAACCTGATCGAGATGGGGGTTATTGACCCAGAAGCTGAAGTACATTATTTGTTACAATCATATTAAGTATTTAAAAAAATATACAATACAATTGAAACTAATTCAATACATTACTCTTTGTTAAAATAAACATTATTTTCTTTTTGATAATCAGTATAGTCTCTAATTATATACAAACAGTTATGCAGCAGAAAATATTTCACTTTTAACTTAAATTTCTGAACCGACTTCAATTGTATAATGTCATCTGGCAATGCGTTGTAAAGTAACGTAGATGTATTGTATGTGGATTTCTGATAGTGAGCTACTGAATGACTTCCCAACGTCTTTCGTTGCGACGCTCCAAACGAGCTTAATGATTAAGCAGACATTCTGAGAGATATCTGAGTGTGAGAGAGATATCTGTCCGGTAACAAATCGATAACTGTCTGGGTTGTAACACGTCCGGTACAAACCGTCATTATGGAAGGATGCAGTCGCCAGATCGATATCGGAGTTCGTCAAAGCTGCTGTAAAGAGGGTAGGGTTGACGCAACTATACAATGCAATGTCTGAACAAGCCTGATACCCCGATTAGTGACTATACAAATTATATCATAACTTGTATCATGGTGTGTTGCATAACAAACTAAAAATATAGTGAGTTGTTAAAAGGGCACCACCGGCTTGGCTTTCAACCACAACGCTCCCCGCGCTCCCTGTGAACTGCAAATGGTTTCTCTGACTGAGCGGCCTGTGTTTCACGACCGTCAGAGCACTTGTCCCAGCGACGTCCCGCCATTGGATGGTTCGCTCCCACGCAACAGGATCTACGCTGGTAATCTTCGCCGCGCCACATTATTTCAGCATGATCAACCTACATAAAATAGTGCATTTCACTCATACCCTCAATCTGTGCAGAAACGATGTCCATATAACATTTACAATTTGTGTCGTGTTCGTTGCAAACACGTGATTAGCTGCAAGAACTGCTTAAAAAACTATTTCCATATCTACTCACTAAATCATGTTTATATAATACAAATTAACTGCAATTTCTCGTTGAATTTATACTTTCACAATGTGAACAGAGAAAACTATATATGAATTATAATGTATATTATCATTCTACCCACATTGCACCACATTCCATGCTCTGAAATGGTCTCAATTCTCTTCTCGACCACTTCGTCTGATGATCTGGTGAGACGGAGCGAGAGATAAACGTTGTGATTTTCTCAATGCTGTTTAGGCAGCTCACACATATGTTTTCATCATGAGAACTTAATGAATAGTTGCAGCTCCTTTTATCAAATTTGTTTGAACTTTGTAGTACTTTCATTTTATAAACTTATTTCAACTTTCTACTTGCAAATTAAATCCACATGTTTACTTAAATGTAATGCATGATTCACGTTATTCATTTATGAATTCCAGCTGATCGTGAACTTTTCACTTTAATACTTTATTAGAAGGTATGCGGTGGCAATTTTGATTATGATTATTACGCTATTATTAATGAAATCATTGACATTCTTATGAAATATTGAATAATCAGCATAGAAGCAATGTGTTTGATTTTCAACATATTAATTGTTACGCATTCAGGGGTAAGAGCTTACCAATTATGTTATTAATTACGACTATCGTGGGAATGTAGGGATCTGCAAATAAAACCGTGCTCATTTGGTCCACTGCTCTGATTCTAGCCCCGACAGTTCGTGGCCCTCTCTATCGCCGAATCTGTGGAGGAGGTTGTCCAATACAATCAATGCACACTGGGTCATGAAACGCCGAAATCTGACCAAGACTCCCCTATCCAAATTATCGCGTTTCCGGGGAAAGGAAAGGTCATAAATTGAATAAATGGTAAATGAAATGCACATAAAAATGTAATATCAACTATTATTGAAAATAAATAAACATTTACATACTTACACACTGGGATATTTTGTGTGATTTTTTACTACAATTTTTCCATTTCATCTTTGCTGCTTGAACTAGCTTCACTTTCTTTTTCTTTCGCGGCAAGGAGAGTAAATATTTCCTAATTAGTATTTTTTAATTTCGTTTTTTTTTGCACGTAAATTTGTAATTAAAGGATCAGAAGATATCAAGAGCGAATGAATGTGGTCTTCACTTGCAGCTTTCCTCGAGAACTTCCTTGTGAACTTTTTGCCTATTGCATTTCATTTGTTTGCGAAAGTATTCCAGAGCTTCTTCTGACAGTCGTGATATTGGAACAATAGCGTCTTTGATAATGTCTGCTCTATGTAGTAATAAAATGTGAGCTATTACTGGTAAGTAGTACCAAGGATATTTTTGTACAAGCAAACAGTTTCTAATGCGTACATTCGAAATGAATTCTAACATATCCTTCACATTTTCTAATCTACTCTTGATCAATGCTAGTAATGCTTGAGGAAATAAAAAGGTTGGATGATTCTCTTCTGCTTGTATCCTGTCTGTATCACAGCGAATTGGCCATTTTTTGACGTCGGAACGATATGACTGACAAAGAATAAAAAAAATCTACACACGCAAAGTAGAGAGACTAAACTGCAGAAGTTCTTGGACTTTAGACTCTTTTAGAGCTTCATTTAAATAATTTATTTTCTTTGGCATTGCTATGCAGATATAACATGTCTGCATTAAGTTGCCAGGGCGCTTCATAGCTTTCCGTCCACCATAATCAGAAGTATTTTGCGCAAACAATTACATTGAAGGCCGTCAATTGAAACAAGAGAGTGCTTCAGTAGGTTCATTTGATTTGGCATTATTTCTTAGTTTTTAATTAGCTGAGCCGTTTCTTTTCTGAACTGAAGCTTCATTGGTTTGCGATGAATCGAGGTTGAGGATTTTGCCATAAAAGTTAAAATGAAGTGACAAATGTGAATCGGTTCAAAACAGGTAATAAACAAGCCTGTATTACTGAGGTTGTCTCCTGTTTCGAACTTTTGTTTGTACTTACATCAGTGATTCCGTCAAAACCCTACTTGCTTATCAAATCTTCGTGTCAACATTGAGTTGAGCGCCGAGATTGGGCGGAGATTATTCGAGAAACGGTATGATCGAGTAGACTGAAGAATGACTTCGGCAACAAGCTTCGTAATGTGAAGTGATGCTTTGGGCGTATAGCATCGTTTCTTAGCAGTCCTTACTTTATTACATGTGAGGAACACTGTGGCTCCCCTTGCCCTGAACCAATCTCGGACAGCGGGGTATTAGTGTTTACAGAGCTGGGACGTCGACCATTAAAAATAATGTTTCATCAGCAGTAGCAGTCTGAATTGACCCCCTGTTCTTTGACTGCCACACACGCCTCATATTTGTGGCCCGGTTTGGAGCTTTCAAGGTCCCCTTCATCAGCTGAGCTGCATCTTTTGCCCATTTGGAGCGCAGGCGCATTTTGGCGGCGTACGTCAGCATAGGTGAAAAATGGGTCTCACTCTGCGTTTCTGTTTTGCTTCGTTTGTTCCTTTTCCTAGATGCGTCAGCAATTGCACATAGTTTGCCGTTGTCACGTAAATAGTTAATTTTATATTTTCTCACTATCAGTAAATCGGTAAAAAAGACTAATATCATTCCGTAGTTTGGCGTTGCGGCGACCGAGAGCTTCCAACAGCATTTCACATACTTTCCCAGCATTTTGCAGAAACTCACCTAAAAAGAAATGTTTGTTTAGTAATACAAATCATCTTGGAAGTCTTAATAATTTATTTACGTTCTTATCTTACAGGTGGCAGTGACGCGGAATTGCATATTACTTCATCGCATTCTGCGACAAAGAGGTAAAATGCTGTACCGACTGAAGAGGTAAAATGCTGTACTACGGGGAAATAAATTCAAAAGCGTGTAATTCGCAAATCACTGTAATATTTTAACAGGGGAATTTTCTTCATACTTTATATAACATACAACTATTCGTTTCAAACCGAAAGTAACAACTAAAAGTGTAAAAGAAAATTACGTTATATCTATTGTACGATCCACGGGTGAAGCTTTATATTTATAACTTTAAAAATATTTACGAAAATTGAAATAGCCTGTACTAGAAAATAAGAATACCTACATCTATAAACTGAGATTGAGCAGATGAATATCGTGCAATGTCGCTCAGTACTAGTAGCACCAATGAGGGCTGTATTACACTCGCACGCAGACGCCAGAAGTAAACAGAATCCAAATTTCCAGCTCCGTTCCGAAGGCATAGGGCGGTGCATTGAATATATGTTTACGTAAGGAGTGGACATTAGTCTCACAATAGGCAAATGCCAGGAGTGCATTTTGAGTTTCTAGACTTTTGGCCAGCTTTTGAGGCGATTCTGGCCGACGGTGCAATGGGACGAAAAAAACGGACAGGCAGTTTGCTACGTCGGCGAAGACCAACAGTCTACCTATGGTTAACCAGATTCTTGTTCGGAAGTCCCACACTGAATGTAAAAGCCCGATGGTCGCCGCATTATGGTCATAAAACCCAATGGCATGCCCCCTGACATGAGGGAATTCTGAGAGAACCTTGTCCCTCGCCCAGCACAAAGGCGGCACAGTCCATTGCAGCGGCGCGTTTACCAGGGCTCGTGTCCTTTGACGCCGACTCAGAGGCGAGCAGAAACACCATTGAAGTGGGTGGCCGGTTCTCTGAGAAGCGTCCAGGGAGATCGTCCCCAGGATTTTTCTCCATGGTATCCACAAGGGCACAATTGAAGCGGACAACTTTCCTGACTCCAATACGAGTTAAAGCAGAGGCGTTTAAGCCCTGCTCCGACTTGAGAAGAAGCAAAACCCGAAGCAGTGCCAAAACTGGATGAAGAGGGAAAGCGTGTGGCACGCCGTTAACTGTAGTGGCAGTGTTCGTGGGGTTCCGCTCTTTCCTGCGTAAACCTTTGCAAGCCGTAACGCAGTGTAACAAATGGCTAAAATACTGTCACGTGAGGCGCGCTTGCAACGCAAATGCGTCAATCTGCCTGGACTGCGCGGAACCGCTCTCATCCGAGCGCATCTGCGAAGCGAGCAAACACAAATGCGCAAACGTTAAGTGCGCTAATCCGTCACAAGGACACAGTGTGTACTTGCGCAATTGTCTCATGTTCTACTAGGCTCAGATTAATGCGTTCACATCTGGAGAAGGCATCACAAAGGGCCCCTTCCCCCGGCCGACGTCGTCCTCTCCGAGCCACACAAGATCCGGGAAAGCGTCGCCGGGATAACAGTTCATTACGAATATAGAGAGGGCCAGCGAGCCAGGCAACGGCAATTTCATGAGTCGGAAATGGGAAAATAAAAAAATCTAATGAAATCGTTTCTGAGTTTAAAACGATGAAGAAATTATGTATTGCTAACACGGAACACGCTGGTGTGCCCCCTACTTCAAATGATTCACCTGTATATTGAAACGAATTCGTTTTCAAGAGTTTGTCATTTCCCTTTATTTCGATTACGTGCTTATATGTACGTGTTAGTACTTGAAAAGTTATGAAATTACAATTTAACCGAGGGGGTTAGTGCACCTGTACATCAATCTACGAATCGATGCTGAGGAAGTATTTAAGCAACCTGCGACGATGGAACACAACTAAAGAAAGAGGCTCCACCATTTTCTGCAGGCTTAACATCATTTAAAAGATTTTTTCTCTGTTATGAGGAACAATTAAAATGTTTTCTGGTAATTATGTAAATTGACTGAATTTTTATAATGAAAAATAGTCATATTCAATTTACGAACGACGAATATACTGCACACTTTAATATGCATATTCTTCATAGGGGCAATTAAATGTGGCTCTTTTCAACCATCAACTTAAGAATATTTGTATTTTAACTTTATTCTGGTAAACGGAAATGCTAACTTGCGGATTTTCATCCAAAGGTACCATTTGAAGGCATTGGTGCTGGACTTTAATAAGAGTCGATCGACGAGGCACCAGCCATCCTTACGGAAGTGCTACCCAATAGTTACTATATGGGAAATCGTTTCACGCTGCAAAATCGTTTGGTGAATGAGCTATTGACTGCGTCACGCGACGGAGACAACGAAAAATTGTGTAAGAGAGAACGCGTACCCGATCTCAATGTTACTCGTTCCGTTGTAGATCCCTAGGGGTGTTTGGGTTATCTAGCTCTGTATTACAATTAAAGAGACGATGTTTTAGATTGTAGATACAGAAGGATTCGCTTATTAAGAAAAAGGTTTTATTGGAAGTGTCAGTCCAGGAAGGAAGCTTACTTGTTGCTATGTTGTCCAAGTAAATAATAAAAATTAATGAAGTGAACAGACTCGAATATCGCGTTCGATCTGGTCTGTAATCCGTTAATCTATGTATCCGTTAATCTGTGTAATCGGCAATTCTCACTCCTGAGCTGGTAAGGAGCTGCTGTCAACGGACTGGGTGGAGTCTTGGCCTCGGTAAACTCGCCCTCTAATCGGTAAACTCCACCTCTCTATTGTGCATGCGTAACGACCAAAGAAGTCCTAGCAACACTTTATATTTCTTTTTGTGAGAGCTGTTTTCAGCGATCGGCGTTTATGGTTCTTGGCTGTCCGGAACTAGTTGCGTCTGCTCCGTGGTGGTTTCAGAGCACAGCTCCGAGGGAGGCCACAATATGTTCGCCAAAACGTCAGCCACCACAGCGCAGACGTGGCTCGTCCCGAACAGCCAAGTGCTAAGTGCTCCTGTGTTTGTATAATACTCTGTGAAATAACGAGTGAATTGCTTTGAGTTTTGTGAACTATCGACGTGCGATAATGTATCGCACAAAATTCACGAGAGAATGTATTAAGAGAAATTTACAACAAAGACGAGACGACTTTAACAATTGTTACTGACAATGTGACTTCAGGATATGTTGGTACCATAAGTGTGTAAAAGTACTGACGATGTAGTGTGTTTTCAACGATAATGATGTTTTGAAGAGCACGGCTCCAAACTCCCCAGGAGGGGCCGTCGGACTGCCAGTTTGCTGGAAATTGAATTGTTGTCCAAAGGCCCGAAGCGTTAGTTCTTAAATAGCTTTTTGTAAACGTACTTTCATGCACATCTATCATCTTTCCAAAATTGTAGCGGGTCCAAGTGTGGGCCATGGGTGCAATGCCCACCCCCAAATGCAAACACTTAAATACTGTTAAAAAATATTTAGGGGGGGCGAACTGAAATAGGACGCTCCTGATATTCTGTCTGGGCCCGCCCCTATTCAAAAAGAACGCAAGTCACAGCCACGTTAACATAACCATCCAATATAGGATCTCAGAACACTCGTATTGTAAATATTATTCTATCACGTAAGTATTTATATTTTCGTATTCCGACTTTACACCTAAACTTATCATGGTTTGAAAGCATTGCCTTAGTTGTGAGTTTTTATTGATAATTTTAACTGTGAAAATGCATTATTGTATAGTATAATATATCCATCACAACTACTTTTCTGTTTATTCACAACTTATAACATTTCCTCTTGTCACAAACATTAGCCATAGTTAGGGAGAATAGGTACCATGTCTAACAGCTCAGTTTCTCTAATTCAATAAGTTTCTCTAATACACAATGCAATGCAAACTAATGCACAGTTCCAAGGAGGTTAACGCATGACCTACCTGTACATAAGATTGGCTCCAAATACCACAAGAGCTTGGACGAGAGCATAGGTACCATGTCTAACAGCTAAGTGAAGGGCTGTATCACCATCTTTATCAGCTACATTTATATCTGCATTATGACTGAGTAATGCAACTACACAGTCCAAACGATTACGAAAAACCATCATATGAAGTGCCGTTCTTCCCACGAAGTTGAGGGCGTTGATATGACATCCCATGTCAATCAAGGTGTTTATTACTTCTCGGGAGCATGACCAATGCAAAGGAGTTCCACCAAACTTCATATCCTTAAAAGAAAACGCTTCTTTCAACTTTCAATACATAAAATGAATAGAAGTATACTTAATAATTCCAAATTAATTTACAGCGAGGAGAAAAATCAGGCCACGGATCCTTATCAATACATGCGTACATCCTCAAGCTTAAAAAGCACACAAGCCAGTAATCATCCGATTAACTTCCAAATACGTCTTCGAAATAAAGAAAAAAAGTTTGCTACTAAGCAGAATGTAGGACTAGTAGATAAACTCTTCGCGCTTCTATTAATGTCTAACGATCTTAATGTTAAGGTTGGATGCGGAATTAATGTATCGTTGGTATCCATTCACGAAAGTCTCTCAAATATCGCTGTATCCCTCACCTATGACACCTGTCAGAGTCCTGTTCGAAGCGAGTCCTGCATACTGTTTGAAGTAAGATGACCTGAAAATCTCACTTTTCACACCATTTATTTGAAACTACACCCTTTCGAAGTAAAGACGCGTCGATTTCCTTCATAATACGTTACAAACAAACCACACACGTGCAAGACTGACACTGTTTCATTCCATGGCACACTGTAAATGCTTGACCAGCGATCCGTCACCACTACGAATGAAGGATCGCACCCCTACTCGGAAGGCAGGAGCGTGCATTGGCGTCATTTTTCACTAAGAAATAACTGTTCTAAAGAATTTCACTGCAGAAACACGCGTAACTACTGGAAATATGGTCAACTCTATCGAACTCGGCCTCTCTTGAAGTTAATTCAGAGAACAATTGGCAAATATTCACTAATGCATGTGTGTCAATTATTTTATTAGTCTAGAGACTTACTTGAGCATGAAGTTTGTTGGGATGTCCCTGAAGAAAATCGCCGACATAACCTGGAGGTGTAGTAGACGATCCAGGTGACAAAGCAGATCTTGTTGCTGAAATGTTAACATCTGCACCTGCCCTCAATAATGCCTTCACGCATTCCGGCTTGTCAGCTAGACAAGCTCTATGCAAAGGAGTGTATCCAATTGAATTTTGCATATTCAGGCATTTTGTTGACTCTGCACACAATGCCTGGAATATAAAAGGAAATTTTGAGTTCTGATGTCACATGAAAGCAACTTTGGCTCGCAAATATAACAAAGAATAAATAGACCAATACAATGATAAATTACTAATCCCCAATAAGATTTAAAGTAATACGGCCCTTTCCACTTAAATCACACGTTATATTGCACTTCGCAGAAAGAACAAGAGGTTTGAGATCGAGGGCTCGTTATCGGGCACCTCCCGACGACAGCTTCCCAATGCCTACGTCGGCTGCCATCAAACGTCAGTGTAGGAAGACAGAGACGGAGGAGCCTTACCTCGCAGGTGGAAATCATGTGAAAAGTGGCGATGACCGATACGAAGACGCGCCAAAATTACTTTCTCACGCCTAGCAATTCGGGATGAGGAACACCATGGATTTTACAGAATCCTTAATAGCACTTGGCGTATGGTGTGCTGAGTGGTATTGTTGGCTAGGGTGCGTTTTAGAAATGCCTTCCGGATAATGGTTGTCGGGCTTCTCCAGGGAGGGCGCATCATTCGGCACCCGGAACCTGGCTGCCCTGCGCGGCGAACGAGCTGCTGGCACTTCATTTGCCAGCAGACGCCAATCGACCGAACGAATTTCTGCCTACTCGACAGCTGGAGTGGAGGTAGAGCGATTCTGCCACACTCGAGAGGCAGACATGGTCGGGGGGTCGTTTTTGAATTAGAATACAACACAAGCACGAATCAAACCGCAATAAGGGAACTCAACAGTACTCGGCACAGGACCGCAAATACGATGCAGGACCAAAGAGGTATTGGCGCTCAACAGTTTGTAATTGCTTCGCGCCATAAGATTTCATTTTTCTTAATACGCAACTCTGCAGTGACGTCAGAAGACTTTAGCTAGCTGTGAAGTTGACAGAAATATTATTTGGACAATAAAAAAAAGATGTATACACGCTTCGGCTGTTGAAAACAAGAATAGTGTGTGCCAAGTTCATCGTCAGTCAATCAAGTGAGTTCTGGCAAGGTTTTCCGTTTTTTCCTTCGAGGTTTACGGTTCAGTGCCACGCTTGGTTTCGCTTTTTACGCCACTTGTACATTCGTTCGTCTAGTACTCATTTCTCTGGACTTCGAGCCTGTGGCACCTGCATAGACATTGTCTCTGCCTCGTTAGGCCTCGCTCTATACTGACACGGGTAAAGTTTTTTGGAATTTCTTCGGGTGTTATCACCGCAAATATCCTACGCACGCCACAAAAGCAACCACGCACCCTTGAACTTAGGATAAAATCTCCGTTCCTGCGATTTCCGGTCTCTCGTCTTTGCTTTGGTTCGTGTTTGGATTCAATATTCGTGAACGGGAGAACGATAAAGGATAATACTCGAATCAAGTAATTAGTAAACACACTAATATATCAAATAAAATCGTTAGTATATAGTAACGCCCATTAAGTAGCAATAAACATTCCACATTAAGTACTTGCTTACTGGATAGCGTAGTTACATTTCTGTTAGAAACACTATACATAGTCAACAATATAACTTACGCGTTCTGTTAACCACAAAATTGTAGATTGCTTTGAAATTATGAACAAATTTATTCTTTCGATATTCCTGTTGCAAGTTTGGGAAATCAGGAGGTGGTCGCCCTTCGTTAACAATTTTTACTTTCCCGTTTACATACGAATAGAGATAGTTATATAATACTGCAGAAAATCGATTTCGAGATTTCATCGGAAATACACGTAATGGGGTCCCCTGAAATCGAAAAACATTGTACATGTTCACATTATTGTATTCATGAGTACATGCGCTTTAAATGGCATATAATGTTTGTCGAAAGCTCCACTGTTTTCTGTGAAAACTAGCTCAAAATCCGCATTTTCAGAAACGCTCAAACGCCATTTTCTCAGAAACAGCTCCAATTTTTTCTTCAAACTTTTCAAACGGATAGTGCTAATTGCACTCTTTAATATGACGTAAAGGTATTTTCGGGATATTTTTTCTTTTTTCAAACACAAATGTATTTTTTGTAAGATCTCTCACGCCGTTAATATGCACATTTCCAGCGATTTTTAAGGTAATTTTGGGGTCTTTTTTTCTTTTTTCAAAATTTCAAGATTTTCGAAAACTCAAAATTTACAGTGAAAAAATTCAATTTACAGAAGCTCTTAAGTCATTTTTTTAAAAACGGTTCCAAATTTTTCAAAGAAAATTGCAATTTAGGACGAGGGTTTACTGTTCTTCAATATCCATAAAATAATATTTCCGTTTTATTATTATGAAAGCGAAAAATTAAGAATTTTTTAATGTACTTTGGGCGGCGATAGATGGCAGCTGGCAAGAGTAGGTGGCAAGTTCGTATAGATAGCCGAGACCAAAACAAATAGAAAACTAATAAAGGAAAGTCCGTGCCATTCTGTAACCTCACTAGTTATTTTTGTAGTGGCACATTACACGTAAAAAGCCAAATATTAAAAGTTTTATTACACATCCGCACTCCATAATCACTTGAACGTCCTATTAACAAATATATTAAACTGCAGCTCCAAAACCACCAATAAATATGTTATTTGGCGTGTTCAAAATTGTGCTACAGGCAGCGCAGCAGGATATTGCCGCAGACTGATTTGAACTAGGCTCTATTGGCTTGAGAATGAATAAATTGGATCGCACTGCCTGCGAGTCCCAAAGCCTCCGGTCACTGCGCCCTTTATTTGCCTTTAACAGAGCACGCTCCACGTATCATCTTTCTCTGCTTAGACAGTGACGTCATCCGACGTTAAGTCCTACGAACGAGGAAATTGGTGTCATTGTTGCTCGAGGCGCGCCGCAAGTGGCGGACTCTGTAGGAGTAATGTACGTCCAAAGGGAAGCAAAGCACTTCGCTTCTGGAATAAGTACCAGAGTGGAACCGTTTAGCATTATTCACAATACATCACTGTAATATTAGGGCAAGCAGTGCTTTGCTCGTTCTAAGAGCAGCTTCGCTACTAGGTTTCACCAGAAAATGTCTGCGAGAAAAAAATATTTCACAGTCATGTACTTATTAAGATTAACTAATATCAGCTGAATTAAAATAACTATTTTTTTCCCTCTTCCCTTTGTTTGTTGCTTTTCTAATCAACAGCCAATAAATTAATTTACTAACTTTCTGCTGGTTTGAAGAGATAGTATTTTTTTGTCTTGTAAAAATGTAAAACGATTATAAAAAACAACAACAAAAAACTTGCCAAAAACCAAATTGCACAAGAATAAATAAAACAAATTAATAAATAATTACGAAGAAAGTCGAGCAAAACTTGAGACATTTGTCATCGCATGCTTATTGAACGAAGTTATAAGCGATATTACGAACGCTCAGGCTTCGAGAGCGAGTGGGGAAATATAAATTTTAAATAGAGAGCTAAACTTAGTCGATAATCTTTCGTTTTCTAAATTAATGTCATTCAATGCTAGATTTTATCTACTTTTAAATTACGCACGGTACCAGAATGAGCGCACAAATTCATTGTTTAGACTTCTGGCCACCATTTCGGACATTCCTACACCGTGCGGCTGGTCGAATGGTATTATTATTGTAGATTGTATATTTGATTAACAGTTATTTCACAGACACAAACATATTTTATGACATTTTACGAATATTTTATAGTGTTTCGAGTATTTAAATTATTTGATTTAAATCATAAATTGAAATCGCGATTTAAATTGAATTTTTTTTAATCACTGATTGAAATTATTTTTAACAATGATTATTTTTAACAATTTTAAAAAATGATTTTATTTTTCTGTCAAAGGCGCTAGAATTATAAAACGTGTTTAGAAATGTAGGTGTAAATAATACAGATGTGAAGTAAAAATTTTATTTATAACTTTAATAAAAGTATATTTGAAGTTCAACGCAACAATGATAAAATTTCCTCCATTATTCTCAGAGTCTGCCTTATTTTTGTACAAAAAGACAAGCTATGCAGCCTTTTCAGTTCCCAAATAAGTCGTTCTTTCAGGTGAATTATGCTCCTCCCCGAGGTACAATGGAGATGGCTTCGCCATGTCTCCTAAGTTTTAGCCTGCTAGTATGCTTATGAGCGGGCTATGGTTAAGCAATGCACTCAGTTTTTAATGAAAAAATTGAACCACAGTCGAATATTTTTCAACCCAACAAGTACACATTATCTTTAAAAACAAAAACGAGAAATTTAAGTCTTGCAATACTCTCACACGTTTTAAAAATAACTGAGCGACAAAGGGTATCTTAAAGTATGTATTGGATCAGATGTATCTCATCAAGATTTAAGAGACATCATGCCATGGATTTAAATTTTAAAAATGTCTTGTTTTTTAAATAATGATTTTTAGTTTTTTTAAATAATGATTTTTAGAAACACTAATTTTATGACATTTTTTCCGGAGTCCCCTATGGACGGGGGGCTCCTAGGCAACTGCTTATTTTGCTTTTAGGCAAATCCGGATAGGCGCTAGTGGCTATGCCACTGTCAAAGGCGGTTTGCTCTCCACGAGTTCGCACTGGCGGTGCGGAGGCGTTTGATGGAAAAACAAATGTCTACGATCCACAGATGTGGTTACACCGTCAGGGACCTGCCGAAGATGAGTCCAAGGAAATTTGAGACGTCAACGCAGGGAAGCTGACGATCCCCCAGGAAAAGCTCCGGTTTGTATTGGCTATGATAAATTCTGCAGAAGAGAATGCACCAAGTTTTTGTTCTGCAAAATTTAAAACCTTTGGGCTCACTCAATTGAGGCAGTAAATTAAGAAGTTGAAGCCACCTTTAGATGACATTTATGCTAGTGAACGAACAAAAGGTAGCGAAGACGTTCTCAAATAGGGTTGCATTTACTACTTCACGTACAACTAAAGCAATGGAATTAAAGGGGATGGTAGAGCAACACCTTAGATTGAATCCTGAGGGTCAACAAAGGAGTTGAGAACGGGTTTTCTACTGAAGAAACCTTGTCACCCATGAAAGGATCTGTAAGAAAAACAGTTTTCGAAGAGCAGGGGGAGCCGCCCTCTAAAGCACCGCACCTATAATGCAAGTAGAATAACATGCCTCCAGGTGGTATCATATACTTTTCCAATTTTCTAAAACTCATAAATAACTTGTATTCAAAAACATTGTTTGCATACTTACCATAATAATATCTTTTGAAGACTCTGCTGCATAATGAAAGACTGAATTTCCTTCTTTGTCAATATGTTCCAGAGATGCTTGAGCATTGACAAGTGTTTGAACTGCACGAAGACTACCAGTCCCGATGGCTACTTGCAAAGGAGAAATACCGGTAGAAGGGTCTGATGAATTTAGACAGCTGCAAAGAATAATGTATGGTAAGTAAGGTCATCAGATGTGCTATGTAATATCCCATGACAGCTTTATTTCATTTGTGTGAAAGTAAAGAGAAAATTCATGATCACACCTTAAAACTAGAGGATGCGTGAAGCAATCCAATAAAGCGAAATGTGCGGCGACGTGGGCAATTGACCACGACGGTTGATCCCGCAATAAATCACACATCTTTTGTATGCCATTGATATTGCACACCTGCAAAAAAGGAGAACTGTATAAAAACATTTTTATCACATAGTCTTGCTAGATTGGAAATGACTACTTTGGTGTTTTAGGTTTCGCAACAATATTGACAAAATGAATGTCTACTTCCCCCTTCATCCATCTCCATGTGTTATTCAATCATCGTTAGAAGTATTTTTTGGTCCATACATAATTGGATTTAGCCTCTCAACCCTCTGCGTGGCCGCCCCTCACACCTTGGTAGAGTCGTACGCAGTGGCCCGTCCTCCTCCCTCTATTAGGCCATTCTCCCATTCGCCTGGGCCTTGTGTCGCGAGCTTCCACCTCCTTATTTCTCGCCTTTGTTATAGACTAGTTTTCTGGCTCTTCAGTGTATGTGTACTTAATACGCCATTTGTTATTTGAATTCTTTGAGTTCATAAACCAATTGGCATGGCCAATGTTACTCATTGCCAATGTTGCACAATGAACATTGTTTAAATAATTTTACCTCAAAATCAGATTTCAGGGGAGGTTGCTGTTCAAAATATTACAATGACTTTCCTTCAAACGAAAGAACCTGAATGGGTCAACAAGGGAGTTGAGAACGGAAAAAGAATTATTTTACATTTCCAATTCTATGAATTATGTTATCATACGCATTTGTGAAATTGTTGCCTTCGAGGTTTGAATTCATGGTTTTATTTAATTTGATGTTCAATGATTCCGATACCATTTTAAGATAACTTTTATATTCATTATCTAGTATGTGAACATTTTTAAGTGATAAAGATACATTTATTTACTATTAACGTACTTCTGAGCTGCAGAGCACGCACGTTCTAAGAGAATTACTTTAAATAATCAAATATTTATCCTCAGATTAACGATCATCCTCACCAAAGCATTGGGAGTTTACGAGCGAGTATTTAATGTTTCCGAACGCGTCAATTACTTTCCTTATTAGTCTCGGTATTATATATCCGGGAAGCGGTGATGTTCCTCGCCTACTAAAAAATCTCGCACCGACCTACAGATCGATATGCCGGATCCCCCCGTGTCTCCCCCAAAATGAATCACCCCAGCCGAGAGAAGCTCTAAGCTTCCGACAGGTCTCCCTATGCAGTGGCATCATCTCTGCGAGGGAGATCACAGTGCATTAACAAAAGTAAGGCAAAGTAAGCGTTTATTAACATACCCGTGCAATTAAATTGCACTGAATATCAAATAGTTCATTTATCTTCTCATAGATTTCGAGTTTCTCAAAGTTTTTACAACTGGTCCTACGGAGTGATTGTACTAAGAAATGATGAACTCCAAAATTGTACCAGAAGGTGAAAAAATATCATTTTCTAGATACACTAAAACCCGGTTTGTATGTATGCACTTGGCGCGACAGCCCGTGAACGGGCTCAAGCCTACCGGCTACGTCCTTGCCTCGCGGCCAAGGGGTTAAGGGGTACGAGTGGTTAGTACGTAGAGATTCCCACGCCGTATTCCGGTCTTCTCAACCTGGGGAGTGAATTTTCTCGTCACGCAGCAACATATACTGGGATATTGCAAGGAAAACTCATACTAGAGTCTTGGCTCGTCCGGGAATCGAACCCGGAGCCGTGTAGTAGAAAGCAAACACACTGACCAAGACCTAGCCACGAACCCAAAACCCAAGTTAATGAGCACAATTTCCTTGTTTATGGTAATACAAAAAACTCTAACTTACATGGGTGGTTTTACACTCTTCAGTTTTTGTAATGAACCGGAATGTACTGATGCGGTCAACGTGCAGAAGCACTGTATGAAATATGGATGAAAACGTTACGTTTTGTCACAATTAGCGCTTGTTTGCCGACGTTAATTCCCACATGACGCGTCGCGTTGCCGTCATTCCCACGTATTCGATTTTACGTTGCGTTCTGTATTTGGCGTTGTGACGTTTTAAAATATCGATGCTGTGTGCCCGGAGTGGGCGACAGAGGTTTCGATAGCAAACATAATCATCAGTAACACTAATCTCACCCAAAAAAATTACCCGAGGATCACGTCCCGTGAGCACAAGTTGGTAGTGAGCCACCAGCAGCGTGCTTGTTGATTCATTTAATACAATTACATGTTGTTAATGTCTTTCGTTTAAAGAATAGTTTTTGCATATAACAGTTTTCTGAATTTTGCAATAATATACAATTTCAAAAACTTTATCCAAACATTTTTTATAATCTTCAGTCATTATCATAATTATCTCCATCCTCTTTCATCATGTCCCTCCTCCTCTTTCTTCTCATGCTTCTTCCACTCTCCTTTCCTTTCCTTTTTTCTACATTCTCGTCTCTTCCAACTTCTTTTCTCTCCTTTCTACTTCTTTGTTCCCTTCTCCTTTAACTCCTTTTCGGTTAAGCAAAGAGATATTACAATAATTTTTAATTATTGCATAGGTCGCTAAAACACGACAGCGTGTAACACATTAATGCTATGCTAATAATTACGTCTAATAAAAAAACAACAGACAATCGACAATGTTTCCCAGAGCTAACATTTCCGACCGCTAGCAGAAAATTATACTAACACAAGTGATACAACATCTTACAAGTACTGCTTTTAACATATCGCTACACATTATTCAAAAGCAAGTTAAAGAGCGAGAAGCTGTTGAATAGTTTATTTTTAATTATCCCTGATAATTATTACATGATTACTGACTGACTATTTTACTGGATTTAACTGGAATTATGTACACAAAAGTTCGTTCGCCGACCTGATAGACGAGGTCGCTAAGGCTGGAGGGCCGTAGTAGCTACCTCGGTTCGAAAGGTCGCGAGATCGAAGCCCGCCTCGGGCATGGATGTGTGTGTGTGTGTGTGTTCGTATTATCCTTACGTGTTATTCCTACAGTTCCCCATACAGTTAAAACAATCACAGTGGTCGCTACATGACCAAGATATTCGAAAGCGACCTTAAAAAAGTTTGTTCACGAAATTTTTCTTAAACCTAAAAAAATTATGATCCTCAAAAATTCTAGTTTTGTTATTTTCAATAACATTTTGAAGTTACATTTTTATCATTTTGTTACTTCGAAGATCAATACTAGTTTTGGATTGGTGCACGACGGGTGAAGGATGGCTGTTTATCGACTGGTTGTGCACAGGAGTAACGCAACTCCGTACTCACAAATACAACAGGCATAAGATCTGCTTTTCAAAAGAATGTGATTTGCCGTTTTCTTCATGGCCCAAACGTCACTCTTGTGTCCCAGTTAGCGATTACCAAATACTGACGCATTGGTCATGGAGAACACATTCTTCCAAAACCATATCACAATTATTTGTCAATAGAACGCTTTTTTAAAAGCTGGAACGCTCTGGAACGGTGTTCCGGATCCTTTCTACTAAGATATACCCCCAGTGCCTGCTTACAAATAAGTTCTTGGATCTGCTATATGCCTCAAAATTCTGTGGTACTGGCCTTCACAGCATACAGAAACTAGTGGTGCTAAAAATATACCTACATTCTCGACATTAGTAATGGTTATGTAATACTATTTATACCACAATTTCTCTCCGAATTATTTTTTGAAAAACTCACTTGAATTCGTAGAACATTTGGTGCGAAAAATAAGCAGAATTCAAGAGCGTATAATATTGAAAAGTTAATAAATAATACGATACTGATAGCATTGGAAAACAGATCGAAATATATATAATAGTAATTATTAAACATCATGGTATTATTATTATTATTATTATTATTATTATTATTATTATTATTAGCCCGTTTAATCCCTATTAGGGCAAGGGCCTCTTGCACAGGGCAAGGAGGCTTACATTATAAAGTTGATCCTCGAGCACCCACCTCGGGAACCTTACATAGATAACTCATTAAAAGCGGTTTTGAATGTTTTTTCTCCAATTTTTTTTCCATTGATTACCTTGACCATTCATTACCTAGAAGTTCCCGAAGTCATCGGTCCATCTACGATGTTGTCTACCAACGTTCCTCTTCCCTATTCGTGGGTCCCACGAAGTAGTTCTGGATGTCCATTGGTCATCTTGGAGTCATGAGATGTGGTGTCCCCACTTCCATTTTAGTTGACGTGTAGTCAGCACTGCATCTTTTATTTGTGTTCTTATTTCCTAATTTCTAATTTTATTTGTTAAAGATATTCGAGGATTTTTTCTTTCCATACTTATTTGACCTACTCCAATAGCATTTTGGTTTTTCATTGTCACAGACCAGGTTTGTGCACCGTACGTAACAGAACAGGTAGTTACCTTTTTTTATTTTTATGTTACTTTTTTGGTTTAAAAGAATAAACTTCAAGATCCAGAATTTGTTCCATGGTCCTGAAATGCGACTATTAATTTATTTCTCATTTTTCTTATTAAAGGATAATGTTTGTTCAAGGTACATGTATTCTTGAACGTGATCTATTATTTTGTTCTGTATTGTTATTTATTTTTATCTATTTGTCATTATTTATGTTTTGCAAAAGTGTATTTTAAACCAATTTTTCTAGCCGAGTGTATTTAGTTCTTAAAGTGTAGTTTGTATTTCTTGATGTGTGTTACCTAATAAGATTCTACCATCAGCAAATCTTAGATTCGATAGTTAGCGTCCGTCGATTTTCACCCTATTCTTGATTTTTATCTCACGAAATAGATACTCTATTAGACAGATGAATAACTTGGGGGATAGTGGATCACCCCGTCTGACACCTATTTTTATTCTAAATTCGCATCCATCTCTTTCGGTTTTGATTTTTGCTTTAATTGTCATATATATTTTTGAAAATATGGTTATGCATTTGTCTTCTATTCCAATTTCTTTTAAAGCTTTCAATATATAGATTTGTTCCACAGAGTCGAATGCTTTCTCTTAATTTATATTCTCAAAAATAATACTAGGAAGAATAACAAGAACAATAGAATGTAACCAATCGGTGGAACAAGCAGGATTTCGTCCAGGTTATTCAACCACTGACCATTTACAAACTATTAAGCAACTAATAGAGAAATTCCAAGAAAACAACCTCCCATTATATC